GGACGGGTCGATAACCGTCCTGCACAGGTATTCATAAAAAGAGGGACTCTCTTCTCAAAAATTGCATCATTTGTGAAATCGCATCAACTAAGTTCCTAAGTTCTTTAAATCCTTATTACAAGTACGGTAGTAATAGTAGTAGAAGTAGAAGTAGCAGCAGTAGTAGTAGTAATAGTAATAGTAGTAGTAGTAGTATTAATAGTAAGTTTTTCTTCACTTTTTTTTTTATTCCTTTTTTATGTTTAAGCATTTTTTTATCCTTTAGTTTTTCTGGTTCTGATAATCTAATAGACATCTAAAAATAACACCCATTTTTTTCATTATTATTTCATATTTGTATTTTTCATCCTTATCATCTTTTTTTTATTTTTAGTTTATTCGATCAAATATTACTTAAAGATTCCTTAAACGTTAGATTGAGAGCCGCGTGACACTTACAATGAGCTCAAGCGTTTCGCGATCAATTCGCTTCTTTTTTTTTTTTTATTTTTTAGGGGAGAGGGAGAGGATGGATAAGAGGGGTGAAAAAGATTATATATATATATATCCTTCGGCGATAATTCGTTCGATCTTTCATTCACTTTCGTTTACTTTAAAACATTGTAAAACGTGATTACCATTTTTTTTCTACGAACGATTTTTAATTTCACAAAATTTGGCGGGAAATTCAAACGATGGCCGAGGCGTGTGATCGAATAAAATTCGCGACACTCTTGAGCTCAAAATGAAATCGCAGTTTTTTTTTTTGTATACCGTTGTTGAATGATACATCTTACATATATTTCTAGCGGCTGGAGTAACAAGTTTTATTATTCTTTTTTTTTTTTTTTCTTTTTCATTGTTTTTGTCATTCGTTTTGTCAGTTCAATACTGCATCAATTCATATTGCTGCTGTGGTGATCTGTGCCCAAACCATCATCGCGATAAACCATCCATGCTAATTACGCTATATACGGTATATAATTCTGACCTCCTATATCTCTTTTCATCCTTTTTCCACGTACACATTGTTTATTTTCTTCGTTCACATTTGTTTTCTATATGCGTTCGTTCATCGATTTTTCTCCTTACAACTCCCCCACCTCCAGGTTCTAATCCCTAACTATAAAATCTTCAATCTCCTCCACAATTCCTATCTCTTTTTTTCTATATATGTTCGTTTATTCTCCCCTATTTCTCTGCTTCCCATACTTTCCCCTTTCTTGTGTTAATTTTAATATCACATTTTCGTGGGAACAGACTGGCCCGATATATCTCTGAAATGTAATCTGGTGATTCAACCGAATTTTCCATTTTTCATTTAATTTGATAACGAGGCGTTCGACGTTTCGAAGCGATTGGATAAAGAGAAATGATAAATTTAAATTTTTGTAAATCGTCAAAAAGATCAAGAATTAACATAACGAGAAATATAATATTAAAAAATGGATGATTAAAAGATCATGCGAGCGCCACGTTTAATTATCAAAAAATTATTTATATCGATTTACGTTTCTTTTTTTTTGTTTTTTTTGTTTTCTTGATTTTCATCGATATTGAAAATTAAATCGTAATACATCGGGCGAGTATGTCCCTGTTTAATATATAGAATACATACATCTTTATCTCGCTACAAGGTACTACGAACCCAAAAAAACGATAAGATTCATCGTTTTTTTTTTTTATTAATTTTTTTTTTTTTTTATTTTTTCTTGTGTGGTATGTGGCTTTTTTTCGTAAAAGATATTTTACAACACGCGAAACATACAACAACTGGATGGAGATGACGAAACGAAAACAAAAATTCGTGAAAATATGCAATATGTTTGCGAGAAAGAAAATGGGAAAAGAGTCGAAAAAGAGAATGGAAAAGGAAAGAATGAAAATAAAAAAAAAAAAGAAAGAAAGGAATTATAAATTTCACGAAGGTGCGTTCATCGACGATCTACACGTTCAAGAGACATTCATCGTTAATCATTTAATAAAAATAATCACTTCTTACTTGTATAATGTTAATTACGTTTGTTTTATTTATTATTCACTCTCAAAAGAGAGATCCGATTTGGAAAAGATCGGTGAGAAGGTTAACGTTACTTTATGTAGACGTGTAATTCACCTTATTTTAATTTTTTTTTTTTTTCTTTATATATATATATTTTTTTTATGTTTTTATGTTTCTCTTTGTGGTGGTTCTTGGTGGTTCCCTCGTTCTATCCCTTTCAAACCTTTATTCTTCTTCTTTTTTTTTCTTTTTCTTCTTCTCTTAGTATATTCATTTTTCCTAGCGATCTAGGAAATAATCTAATCGTTCTGTATCGAAAATTAACGGCGTTTAGTCCTTTTTTTCACTTCTCTTCATTTCTTATTTTTTAAAAATTTTTATGAGCTTTACAAACGACAGCCAATGTATTACGATATCTATCAGACTGAAAATAAAATTAAAATTACAAAAATTACAAATCATGAGTTAGATATGTTTTTTCGTGTTTGGTTGCTCCAACAATATCGCAATTCGCACGAGCACGATCATTGATAAAGCAAAGCAATTTTCGAGATTAAAATATGTCTAGAAAATTTGAAAATTTCAAAAGATATACCTATATAAATGAAAAATTTTATTTTTCATTATAAAACATTATAAAATTCCAACGAAAAGGAATTTACTTCAAAAAAAAGGCATCTTCGAAGAACTTTCCAAATTCATCTTGAATCGTCGATTACCAGAATTTTTCTTTAATCACTCGAACGATCTCGAATCCCACCGTTTTATATTTGATGTGTATACACGCGCACGCGAGCGCGTGGCCGCGGATAAACTTCTGCAACAACCAATATGATTGCGTCTCAGCTATAGAATAAGGTCGATTGTTGATACAACAACGACTATACGGGAGTATCATTTAATATTAAAAAGTCGCGGCTTGCCTTGAAAATATTTCATTCGGCTTGGTCGCTTTTCTGATGGAATTCGAGACTTCGTCCTTCTTTCTTCTATTTCTAATCATTCATTGCTTTATATATATCATAGGATAATTCTTCGAAGACATCACCCTATCCATCATTTGACTGTCATTTGATCTATCAACATCGACATTTAATCGGCACGAATCTTTATCTTCCAGTTCTCAAATTTCATTCTCTTAAAGCTACATCACTTTTATCGAAGTATCATCCAATTGTTCGTTTCGCAGGTGAAATCCAATCGCAATTACCCCGTGAAACCTTGGAACGCGTCCTCCAGATTCGGTTCGTCTTACCCTGTCCCGAGATCCTATCCCGCGAAAGATTATTACCGCATATTATTATTTTTTTTTCCTCGTTTTTATTTTCTTACAAACTAACGCCGTTTTTAAAACCGTTTTGCGTTTTGCTTTTTTTCGTTATTTTTTTCATTTTTTTTTCTTTTTATTCTTCGTTTGTTTTTAAATCAGAGATCACTCGTTACGTTTGGTAATCAGTCTATCTGGTCTGCGTAAACCTAGCCAGAAAACTCGACTCTCGAACAACTCGCTGCCTCACTATTTCGATCCGAGTTAAGGGATCTCTGTGCATTGATTTCTGTCGCGAAATCTAGGATCTATCAAAAAGAGACTCAAAAATTTCTTTTTCATTTACAATTTCGAAACCGAACAATTAACAATCCAGTTTCTTTGCCAGACCATTAAAAAACAATTTCTCAGATTTAGAATTTTGCCATTGCGCCAAATAAAACATATCCATTGGCCTAATCATATTAGATTCAACGTAGCTTCCTTTTATTTCTCACTAATGAAGTTCCACTCGAGCCGCAAAGTGAAAACTTCGAGGTAGTCTCCTCTTCGAAGCGATCTTCGTTACGCGACAGTCGCTACTATCGATCGATCCCTTATTCCGGATCTCTTTGGACCCTTGTACGAGCTTATTTTATTCCAAACTTTCTCTTCACTATAACTTTCTAATTAGCTTTCACCTTTTCCATCATTTTTCGCGCACGTTAGAAACATTGTTCCCTTCTCCCAATACCTGACAATCTCCTTTATTTTCGTTTTCGTTCTTTATCTTCGCTCTATTCCCTTGCCGTCTTTCTTGATCCTCTAAGAAACGCCAATTCTCCTGGTTTTCTCAATGGAAATATCGTGATCGCGCAACAACAACAGGTGGTGCCGGTTCAAGCCTCGAACAACCAACGAGGGACTTACAGGAATTTGTACTCTTTGAATGCGTGTGTTGTTGTTGTTCAACGATGTTTGAACGTTTACTTATCACGTAATAAAGATTACGAACCGCCTCCAGCATCAAGGCGACTTACTTTTTTTTTTCCCCCTTAATTAATAGAAGAATTTTTACGTTACGATTTCACGTATACGTGTTTCTTTGTTTTTTACTCCATTTTTTGTTTTTTTTTGTTTTTTTTTTTTTTGGTTTATTTTTAATTCCTTTTTTTTTTTTTTTTTTTTTTTTTTTTTTTGGTTTATTTTTAATTCCTTTTTTTTTTTTTTTTTTTTTTTTTTTTTTTGGTTTATTTTTAATTCCTTTTTTTTTTTTTTTTTTTTTTTTTTTTTTTGGTTTATTTTTAATTCCTTTTTTTTTTTTTTTTACTTTTTTATTCGTGAAAATTCTCTGTATATGCGCGTGTATATGTGCTCACATGTATGTATGTATATGTATGTATGCATGTGTATGTGTACGTGTACGTATGTGTGTGTATATATGTAATGCATATGCATGTCCTTACTTTAGAAGTGTGTACGCTTTTTTTCTATTTTGTTTTCGGTTCCCTTTCCTTCTATGTAGTTTTTTTCTCCCTCTCTATGTATTTCCCCATCTCTTTCTCTTACTCTTTCGTGAGTATGTATGCTTGTATCTGTATCGAAAGGCGGAATTAACGATAATAATCCTGTTGATGTCTTTTCACACTGTTTCATCTTTTATTTTCCAGTCGCTGTTTCTCCACCTTTCTTTTTCTCTTCGCTTTTGCAATTTATAAACATTCTCCTTTCTTTCTTTCTTTCATAACTTTCTACTTTTCAATTTATTTCTTCTCCGTTTTTATTTCTGCTTTTTTCTTTTTTTTTTTTTTTTCTTTTTCTCGTATTCACGATCACGGAGCCTGTACAATGTGGCAGAAATGAAGATTCTTCTTCCTCAGAGGTATGCACCGAAGGCATTCGCAATAACGATCCCCTCGATAGATCATCGAAGGATAGTCGATCAGGAATCGTCGTGAAACAATCGTGAAAACATTGCTCTCCTACGCGTATTCATGCTTAACAAATTTCTTCCTCTCTTTTTCGCACTCGAAAAGAGCAAAGTTATCCATGAATTATTTCACGACGCTTGAAACAAAAAAGCGGACACCTTCACTCCTTGTGTCATCGTCGAAAGCGAAACACTATAACCTCGAGAAATCAAATCGACGACTGCCCGCGATCATCGAAGCGGACATCGGCGGCGACAAAATAATACATCCTCAAAAAGATAGAGCGGCGAATATTCTTTCTTTCTCTCTCTATCCTCATGGCTTCATGCAATTCACGCTTGTCTCCCGTTATTCGAACGCGCCCTCATTCCCGTAACAACGGGAACCTCGCGTCGAATCGAGACGAGAAAGACACAAAACGAAGGTCGATCATCGTTTTGAAAAAGAAGAATCGACAAAAGATTTCGGGTATGGTGGTGGAAGTGGCAATGAGGCTGTTACGCTCTTGCATCGGCGCAAGCTTTGTTCTTAAGGATTCTCCGCGAATTTCGATCCAAAGCCAATCGATTAGAGGCATGAGAAAGATAAACCTCCATCAAATCCTGAGTGGTTCGATCGATCGTCTTTCCTCCAATCGTGGCTCCTCGATCAGGGCAATCTCTTCCGGAAAAATCGACGCGTTCATACGAACCGACCGATACTCCACGATACTCCACTTTTCATCGAGGAAGAAACGCTGGGAATTCGCTTCTCACTCCCATTTATCTTTCCAATCTCCCGTTTCTCCACCTCGATAAATTTAGTCTCCCTTAAAAATATGTACAATATTCGATTGACAATTTACACATGATGCTTGCAGCTCGTTCCCCGCGTTCCCTCCTCACAATTCTCGTCTTCACGAGGAACGCTTTTTCTCTTCTATTGCGTGTTACAAAGGTGGTTTTGTTCAAAGTCAATCTTCCCACCCCATTTCGCGACAGTTAGTTTGACGTCGATAGGTTTGCGCCAAGATTTCACACTATTCGTCATGCTTCCTCTTCTTCGTTTCTCTCGTATCTTCGTTGCTATCTTCGGCCGATTGTTCGAAGTCGTTCTTCTTGCTATTTCTTTCGTTTCATCCCCTTCTTCTTCAAACACTATCTAAGTCAGTCACACGTACACGTCGATGATGTCGCCTCTTCAACGTCTCATCCTTGGCAAAGAGTATTGCGGCGCGCGTCCCGCGACTCTTCGCGAGGTAGACCAAAGGGGTGGTGCGTAGATGCGTGTACGCGAACTGGATACCTCGTATGCTCAGATTGCTCTTCTCTCTTTTCTCCTGCCTCTTTTTCGTCCCTCGTGCGTCCTTCTCGTCCAGCATCCCTCGCATAATCTTTCTCCGCCGCTTCCTCTTCCTCGCCTTCAAATGCTCCCCCTCCACGTTCTTCCGCCGCCACCGCGCCACCTCTTTGTCTGCAAATAGCCCAAAGATACGGACATGAGAATTTGTTTGTCAAAGATCCGTTACTTTTTCACTACACTTTTTTTTTCTTTTTTTTCATTTTCTTTTTATTTTATTCTATACGATAAACCTGTGCTAGTTTTGGCGCGTTGTGCTCGTGAAAAAAGTGAGAGATTTACATTTTATTGGTAAATGTATAAATGATTTTGGTAAATAGTACTCGAAAAATCTAGTATTCCATCATATTCGTTTTTTTCGAAGCATTCGAAGCAGGGAATTTGAGATGACAAAATGCTTGACGATTGTTTAGAATGAAGATATATTGGAATATATTGGATTATAGAAAGGAATTGTTCTTAAGTATGGATTGAGGATTTTTTTAATTTTTATTTTGAATTTTTTGCATTTTGAACTCACAAGAATAATGATAAGATTGAATAAATAAGTTCGAATTTTGATTAGATTTGATTTATAAATATTTTGAAAAATGAAAATAATATTCAAATATATTGAATCTATGCGAATAACCGGTTCATAAGATTTTTTTTTTATTTAGCCTATTTAAATTTTATTCGTATTATTTTATTTGCAAAAATTCTACTAATAAGGAATACTTTAAATTATACTTTAATATGTACTTATATAATATATTGGAAAATAAAAACGAAATATACAAAAATATTTTTTGTAATAACCTTAAAAGTGATATTAAATAATAATCGATAAAACACAGTAATTAATACAAATATTTTTACTTTTAAAATGTTTTCTTTTTATTTTATTTATTATATAATTAATGTATTGAATATATCTTTTCGAAATTTTCAAATACGTATCATATTTGTTCGATATCAACTTGTAAAATTATTATAAATTCAACATAAAATTGAATAGATTTAAAGTAATGTAATATAATAATATAGCATAAATATAATATAATTATTGAAATATTATTTTTTTTTTTTGAGTAACATTCAAAAAACTTAGATTAGATTAGAATTGAATTTGAAATTGATAAAAATATATTTAACTTGATCCCATTCCTGCATAAGAATGATAATATTGAAGATTTTTTTGGAACTCGTTATCTTGAAATATTTGTTGGATATGCTTTCAGAGATGTTTTCACAGAGTTGTATTTTTTAATCAAGCTTTCGAGAACTTTTGTAAGCACTGTCAAAATTTTTCCAAAAATTCTGAAAGCTAACATTATATGTCATTATATGTAAACTAGTGGGAAAAATTGAACATGGGTTTTCAAATCTGCTTTGAATTTTTAAGTTCTTATTTCTGTTTTCACAAATAAGATTTTTGATGTTTTAAACGAAACTTTATAGAAATCTTATTTCCTATACAGAAAATTATTATTTATTTGAAGTTTGAATAAAAATGGAATTTTAATGTAATTACATTAATGTAATGTAATTTTTTTTTGTATAAACTTATACAGATTATTAAAAATTTTGAAAAATAAAATTTTTAATATTTTATTTGATTATTTTTTTTCATAGTTTTTGAATCACTTTTTTATAGTTTCATTATCGAATAATATATAATAAAAAATAATAAAAAAATTATATAATTTAAACAAATTATTGAAAATTTTTTATTTTTTCATTTAATTATAATAATTTTTTAATACTCTTTCTAATATAATTTTTCCAAACTTAAAAAATTTGTTAATAATAAAGAAACATTAAGAAAAAAGATAATATTACATCATGTTGAATAGTATCTAAGAAAATAAATTTTCAAATTTCATTTTGAATAACAAATAATCAGAAAAAATCAAAAAAGTTTGGAAATACAAATTTATATCTTATGAAATACAATCTATTTCATAGAAATTTTTCATTTTAGAGTTTACGTACTTATTTTATTATTTTTTAAAATTTTTTTTCTTAACAATCCAAAATTTAATAAAAATATTACTTTCTTTTTTAAATCTTAAAAACTTTGATAATATATAAATAATTGAAAGGAAAACGAAAATTCTAATTTTATTTAAAATTTCTAAAATTAAATTTTTTTATAAATAAAAGAAAAGTTTTATTTTATTATTTAATAGTATACATATAAGATTAATATGTATCTCATATATAAGATATATCAAATTATAGAATATTTTCATATAATATATATTATTATAATA